ACGTTCATGCAGTGACTCCTGGAGTATCTTACATGGATGGAGAGTTCTGTTGCGTGACACAGGAGACCTCCACACACTGCACTTGGATCTCCACTCTGAATAAGTGGAGTGGAAACACCCTGCAGCCTCCCAACTGAACTGCACCCTGGAATCGAGCACCCCCAGTTTGGGAGCATTTGGCTGAATGCAGCAGGCTCTGTAAGGAGACATACTTGGACAGCTGAAGCCACTTCTCAGCAGCTGGAGCCGGGCTGCTTCCTCTGCTGGGTCTATCCCAAAGTGGGAAGTTGAGACAGGGTCATACTCACAGCAGAAGTGCTACCTAATAGTCTGAGGAGCCTTCTAACCTCTTCCCTCCCCTCCACAGGACAAGGTGTCCTTCCTTAAAGGCAGGTGGTGGGACTGTCCCAGGAATGATGGCAGCTCTGAGGAGCAGACCAGCTGCCTGCTTACTTACACTGGGGTACTCGCTCTTCACAGGGAGTTTATTCAGGTAGCTGTAGGAATGGCCCTTCTGAATGGGGCACTGGATCCCGGACTTGCATCCATCAGGCTCAGGAATGGGAAAGGGTATGTCCACGTGCAGCATCTCACCGTACACTCTCGCTTTGCTGCCCTGGCTCTCGATCTCTGCAGAACACAGAGAAGCGTGAGCACGGCACCGGAGCAGGGAACACATTTCTACCTTACACCCTCCCCTCCACATACCCTGAAGGCTGCAAGAACACGACTAAGGGACACTCTTCCTCCCCGGCCACTTCTTCCCACCCAGACCCCTCTCTGGCCACCCTTCGCCACTCCTCTCCAAGCAGTGGGACAGAGGCGATTGCCGCCCCTCTGGCACCCCAGCTGGGGAAGCGATACTTACTGCTGGCGAAGGTGACGTTGATGCTGTAGGATGTCCCCTTGTGGAGCAGGCAGGGCTGCGTGGGGCAGGGGCTCACGTTCACCTCTTGGATGCTGCCGTCTTTGGAACCTGCAAGGAAGAGCCGGGGTTACCGGGCCTTCTCCGCCTGCTGACCGCCCCCTCGCCC